AATTTCGTTTCAGGACATTTGGGACCGATCTAGCGATATCCGACCATCTGTCTGCCAGGCTGGTGCACACGATAACTCTTGAAGACAGCATCCGATTTGCTCCATACTTGGTACATTGTAATATTATTATCAAACTTAGATCGAGTTTGGAGATGGGCAATATCGGTCCACTCCATCTGGAACTTCCCTTCCCCCACAAAATGTCAACTTTTTCAAAGAAAATATTTTAATGCACAGAGAAAGAAAGGATAATCCGATTTTGCTCCAACTTAGTAAATCCTAATATTTGCAACAGTTCTAGGTGAGGTGCGAAAATGGACAATATCGCCAAATTTTAATATTTGCATCAGTTGTAGGTCAATTGCGAAAATGGACAATATCGGCCCACTCGATCAAGTACCTCCACCACAAAGGGTCAACATTTTGAAAAATTACAACTCATATAAAATATTATGTAAGAGTTCGATTGTCATCAAATTGCACACATCAATATAATTTTAATAACCAATCGGTTCACTCCTTCTGGTACCTCCCCCAAAAAGGTTCAACACTTTGAATATCTATGAAGCTCATAAGACGCGAAATTAACATCTGATTGCATTCAGACTTGGCACACATTAATATTTCTATCAGCACAAGATCTGTCATAAAGATGGTAGAGATCGGACCATTAATTCTGGTACCTCCCCGCAAAGGTTCAAAGTTTTGAATTACCAAAAAGATTTAAAATCCGAAATAAGCATACAGTTTTCTTCATATTCCACACATCCAATTATTTCTACTAACACAAGATCTGCTATGAAGATCGAAATATTGAAGCTCACGAAGCTCATAGAAATTAACGAAATTAACATCCGATTTCATTCAGACTTGGCGCACCTTAATATTTCTATCAGCACAAGATCTGTTATAAAGATGGTAGAGATCGGACCATTCCCGCAAAGGATCAAAGTTTTGAATGACCAAGATTTTAAAATCCGAAATAAGCATCCGGTGGGAAATATCGGTTCACTCCTTCCGGTACCTCCCCCACAAAGGCTCAGAATTTTGAATAGCCATGAAGCTCATAAGACGCGAGATTAACATCCGATTTTATTCAGACTTGGAAAATCTCAATATTTCTATTAGCACAAGATCTGTTGTAGAGATGATAGAGATCGGATCATTCCTTATAAAACCCGAAATAAGCGTCCGATTTTCTTTAAATTACACACATGACAATATTTTTATTAACTCAAAGTCTGGTGTGAAGATGGGATATATCGGTCCACTCCTACTGGTACCTCCTCCACAAAGGTTCACATTTTTGAGTATCCATGAAGCTCATAAAACGCGAAAATAACTTCCGATTTCATTCAGACTTGATTCATCTCAATATTTCAATCAACACATGATCTGTTTTAAAGATGATAGAGGGTTTAAGATTTTGAAAAACAAAACGCTCAAAGAAAGCGAAATAAGCATCCAAATCTCCTCAAATTTTACATATCCATATCCATAATGCAAGATCTGTTGTAAAGATGATATAAATGGAATGCTTCGGTCAGCTATATTTGTTACCTCACGCATACTTCCACATTTTCCACAAAATTTTCACATATCTCAGATAAGGTATAGGATGTAATCGATATAGTCCACATCTAGCGGTCTCAGGGCAGATACGAATTGACCAACTGCTTTGAAACCTCCCCCATAAAGTATTAACAGTCTAAATAATCATAACTCAAGGCTGGGGGTATACATCTGTCGCTAAACCGACTGATTTTAACTTGTTCTCTGTTTATTTGATGCTCCTACTCTTTTCGCCGCTTTATCGAGACTTGAGAACTCTGAGGAGTAAATTATTTGAAACTATGTATTTTGACAGGAAACTGTAAGGAGTGAAACAGATCAAAGCTTAAATCGTGACTTCGGGGTGAAAATACAACATTGTTGTCAGCTACACTTGTTACTTTAGCCTTAACATGCCTAAAAGTATGCATCATATTTCATTTGTAGATGGACCCTTGAAAAAACACTAAAAAACATCATAATCGGGCTATTCCTATTACCTTTCTTTCAGTGTATTTAAGTCAATCTTCTATGTATGTCTGTCTGTATGCTTATGAATCTATTTCTAGGCATATGCAAATAAATTATTGACGAAACCCAAACTCATTAATATGGAATAAGTGCAGTTGGTTGTTATTGGCTACACTTGGCTTTCAAATCTAAACGCCCGTGTTCGTTCTGTTTGTATTTTTTTTCTTTGTTGTTGTTATTGTTGTCAAGAAACAAATTGAGGTATTGTGTCTACGAAACAGTAACTAGGGAAAATGTCAAAGTTGACAGCTTGAATGGCGCCAGATATAGATATGCATTTTTGTAATTGCTGCTGCTGTTGTTGTTGTTGTCCATTGAATCCCTTTAGATTTTAATTAACATTAAACACCCTTTAAGGGTGGATACAAACTGAATACAAAGTACATATCGGGTATGATTAAGATTCTGAAACTGTGTGCTATTGCAATGAAAACATGTTACAGAATTCAAAGACGTGATTATTGTTTAATAGATTGTTTTTTAATTGTCGATAAATTGAGTAGAAAATAGACTATGTTACGCTATAGCATCGTGATAAAGAATTGAAATATAATGATGATATCATTTATGAACTCATGCCGTTGGGGAATTTAAGTTGTAGAAGCATTAATATCCGTATTTAACACATTATAAGAATATTTTCTATGAAAGGTCTACAAGGTTTTCTGCAAGAGGATATTTAGGTTTTTAGAAGCACAAAAAGTGAAATAACTGACTGACGAACAGAAAATCTTGAAATTTTGCACAAGTGTCAGTCTTGGTGCACAGATGTGTGATAAGACTGGGTTTTTGAAAACTCTAACTAAAAAGGTACGAAAAGTACTAAAATGTAATAGAAACTAGTTAAAAAGTATCATTTAGACAGATGTATACCGAAGATGTCGACCGAAGTATTCCATTTTCATACATCATCTAATAGAGATCAAAATATTTGTATGGCCAATATTACAAGAAAATCGAATATTAATATAAAATTTTATGCGAAATCATAATCATAAATTTCTGGTTGAGAAGAATATTTAAATATGACAAGCTGTAGAGAATCGCTGACTTATTTCGCAAGTTATGATAGATAAAAGTTTTGAAAATTGTGACCCTTTGTTGGTGAGGTACCAGAAGTGGTTCGCAGATATATATCATCTTCGCAACAGATCTTGTGTTAGCAAAAATGTTTGTCTGTGTGAAATTTGTAGAGAATTGGATGCTTATTTCGCTTTCTTTGAGCGGCTTGTTTTTCACAACCTTGAACCCTATGTGGGAGAGGTACCAGAAGAAATTCTCCGATATCTTCCATCACTATAAAAGATCTTGTGTTGATTGAAATATTGAGATGCACCAAGTCTGAATGGAGTCGGATGTTAATTTCGCGTTTTGACCCTTCGTGGGGGAGGTACCAGAAGGAGTGGACCTATATATTCTATCTTCACACCAGACTATGTGTTAATAAAAATATTGTGATATGAGAAATATAAAGAGAACCGGTTGCTTATTTCAGATTTTATAATCGTTTTGGTTATTCAAAACTTTGATCCTTTACGATGGAGGTACCAGAAGGAATGGTTAGATCTCTACCATCTTTATACCAGATCATGTGATTATGGAAATATTGAGATGTGACAAGTCTGAATGTAATTGGATGCTAATTTCGGGTTTACGAGCTTCATGGATATTTAAAATTGTTACCCTTTGTGGGTTAGGTACCAGAAGGTGTGAACCGATATATTCCATCTTCACACCCGACCATGGCTTAAAAAAATATTGTAATGTGTGTAATTTGAATAAAATCGTAATTTGAATCACATCTTATAAGTTATAATTATTCAAAGTTTTGACCCTTTGTGGTGGAGGTACTTGATGGAGTGCACCGATATTGTCCATTTTTTCACCTGACCTAGCGCTGACGCAAGTACTAGAATTTGCAAAGTTGAAGCAAAATTGAATTATCCTTTCTCTTTCTGTGCAGTAAGATATTTTTTAACATTTCGATCTTTTAAGGGGAGTGAGGTAGAAGGAGTGTACCAATTTTGCCCATCTCCGTAATCAATACAAGTTTGACAATAGTATTACGATGTACTAAGTTTGGACCAAATCAGATACTCTTTTCGAGAGTTATTGTACGCACCAGCCAGCCAGACGGGCGGACATCGCTAGATCGACTCAAAATGTCCTGAAACGAATTTGGTGGTGGTTCAGAAATGCGTAAAATATTTGTGGGAAAAGTACTAAACGGTACTAAATTTAGGTAAAGGAATAGAACTGGAATTCTAATACTTTATATTGAGGCCACTTTTGGTTTCTAGGGTTTACATATGGAGATGTTGAAATATTTTTGGACAGAAAAAATGTGGAAGTGGATCTATTTTGCTATAGTTTTATTAATATCCTCCTCGATAAACTTCAAAATGAATGATTTTGAAGTCTTCTTGGGGTAAAAGGAAAACATTTTCCCATTATTCTTTCCGAAAAAGGCACAACTTGAATAACATATATAAAACTTTGAAAGTCTGAAAATTTAGTACAATGTATGAAGCTTTGATTAAAAAAATTTTCAAACAGAACAACTTGTTCATTTTGAGCATTCAAAAGTTCTCAAAATGAACTGTAGGAACGAATCCAACATTTTAAGGTGGTCCTTTCGCTGACGAAGTTGCACGCAATTGCTAGTCTTATATAAGAAAATGTGCAAATCGTTAAAAAATACATTCGGTGAAAATTACTCTCTAGTTCATGGTGTTCCTTTCACGGAATAGTACCATTGAACTAGTTCGTTCCGGAACAAAATCACACACACATTTATAAATGGATATTTTTTTAAATCAATCTGAAAATATCATCTTATAATTTAGGCTTACGATAGATTAATTGAAGGACTACATGGGTCACCAATAACTAACAGTAAAAAATGAACTTATACTTACGAGGTTTGATTGGACGCGCTGTTAAAAAACGAAATTTTGGATTAACATCTTGTGATCATTTTCAAGTTTTAACTCTAACTACAGTACCTTTTAAGTAGGGGTTAGCACCCAATGGCAAACTCAGACAAGTTAAGCTACATTACGTTCTACCACAAACTATTGAATCAGAAAAAAAACTTCTTTATTTCTGTGGAAGTAATAGAATATACGGAGGAGTTTTCATATCTGCATTAAGTTTTCAAACAACATATGTTAGTAACTACTCTAGGCATATTAATGTCAAATTATAAGTAAAAACGACGACAGAATTCGAGTGCGTCTCTGGGATCCCTTTTTGATGTGTTACAAAATATGTCATACGAAGACTTCTAGCTGCTTATGTATTCATACCTAAATGTACGTTTATAGAGATGACATTAACCGTTGCTGGTAACTTTTGCTCTGTTTCGGAACCTGCAAGAATTTTCGAGTTTTGTAACTTCTTTCGACATCGTAAGGGAAAAAATCTATTTTCGTAGCAACATATTTACATTCCTACAGGTCCTAGAACAGAGCATTTAAACAATTAAAACTATTTTTCGGAAACCTAAAGTTTCAATTTACATGAATATCATTTGCATAATTTAGTCTGTTATTGAAATTAAAAATTTTATAGTCTGTTATTGAAATTTTATTTATAAAGAAACGGAACACAAACAGCTGATTTGTTGGCTAATAACTGTATTATTTAAATTCGCCTGAAAGTATGCACCACACATTTATTCTTCTTCTTAGTCCAAGTTTGCGATATGTGGCAATTTTCAATGTTGGTTTTGAAAATAGCTTAGTTATTTCCAATGATATTTTTGCAATATTTTGTTTCTACATCTCGCATGTTAGTGTAAATAACATACTCCTATAGACTTTGTTGCATCCACATGAATATGCAAGTCTGTATTGCCAACGGCAGCGACAATATTTTGCAAAATAATTGCGACAAATAAAGTAGATGCGAGTATTTCGAACAAAGACGACAACATCCCACGGTTGTAATTTTTTTATTAGCTTATGAAAATGAGAGTAGCAAACAACAAACAACAGCAATGCAAACAACAACGGATGACAAAAAGTTATTTTTTGTCCGTCATAAAACAGCCACGAACACCAACTTGGTATGTAATAATAAATACATTTAAACCAATGTTCAATGACACTCGCCTACAAGTTTCATTACATCAATTTTATTTTGTTAAGAAATATATAAACATTTCGACTTATATCCCGCCATTGCTTACCACGTGGATTTCGGAGATGAAAGTGACACTTAACTACCAATTCGGTTGGCAACAAATGTCTGCACCAATTGTCCCAAGGTTCTAGGCGTCATGTTCGACAGAATATTGTCCGGCCCTTGTGTTGCTAGCTGACAGCCCGGATGAAAATATCGTATGCCCGTCCAAGCCATTATATGATGGAAAGAAGGAAGGATATACAAGATCTTCCGAGATAATTCTAAAGGCGTAGTCAGGAAGCATTGATACTGGTGCAGTCGCCGATGTCGTAAACCAATACAGTATAGACAACAGATCATTTTAGAATCTTTAAAGTTTTGACAAAGCTCACATGGGTTTCAACTCCTACTGAATTACAGGGAAGGACCTGCTTAGGGGATGTTTAATTTTGATCCCACCTACAGTAATAGGAAGTGTCTTAGACTCCGAATATGACAACATCTGACATAAATTCGTTGTTGAAATTTCAAACAAAGATGAGGTCGACAGGATTGTGAAAGAAATGATGAAAATCCTTGAAACGCGCACTAGAAAATATCAACTCACTGGGCATTAAGACGTGCACGTTACTATAATCGGGAAGGTAACAAAGTAGGATGAGTTGTGAAATCTGTAAACATCCTATCACCTCTGTAGAAGCAAAGAAGTATATTAAGATTCTATAAACCGGAAAGGCAACAAAGCAGAATATTTCCGACGAGAAACTTTAGTTCCGGCGAAACAATATGGTGTGTCTAAGAAAGAAAAATATATTTTGACCTGTGATGATTTAAGCAAATTGAGTCAAATACTAGGTATTTTCCAAAATTTTTTAGCAAAGAACGGAAAAGTAGGTTCGATAATGAAAAAGCAGAATTCGGCAGTGCAGACAGCGTAAAGTCTGGGAACTCTGTAAAGAAATTACCTAAGGAGCGGAAATAAAATTTTCCTTGCAGCTAGTTTACTCTGACATTTTGCACAGTTCAAAAGAGGCTCGATGCTCGATATTGGCATGAAACCGTCACAATCGTACCTTGCAGTGATAAAGAAAGAAATAATATGGATAAACTTTGCTAATCTCTCATCACTCAGCATTTGGGAAGTGACTCAGGGCCTGTGAAGTCGAGTGTCGCACAAAGTGGATTGGCTTAAAAAATTCTTGCGACAAAGTAAGCCCAACTAGGCTTTTGTTGAAGAGGCTGTTCCGCTCTATTCCCTTGATTATTTTATATGACAAGTTTCGACAACAAAGTCGGGCCGCAGACTTTTTCATTTGCCCGGATGCAAGGAACCCCTAAATCTACTCATCTAGCAAGAGAGGCCTCTGTTTTAAATACCATGCATTGATTGTGGTTCATACCAAAATCGAGGGTAGATGCAATGTGCGCTGGCAGACGTATTGTACCCCGATCCCCGTGCGTACCGTGGTTAAAGCCAAAACAATGTCAAACATTATCGATATCTGTGCAATCAATGCATTGAAAAACTATGCTATGCCAAGCAAACAGGGGGAGAATGAGAGCTGAAAATACCAAATGCAAAGAGAACTAGGAGAGAAATTTGGCAGAGGTCTTTCTTGGTTGCATGTGGAAATTGTATTGAATATCATAATACCCTGAACCACGGTATGGCGTAGAGTAAAACATGTTATATGAGACATGAAGGATTTCAGTTAGGATAAACCAGAAAGATAACAATGCAGCAAAATGTGTAGAATGTTCTTGGAAGCAACTTTATTGTAAGGAGTGGAAATATCTTCTAAACCAGAACTCTGCGAAAACTCCGAAGGACACAAAAATCTTCCCAATCCACTAATGATACAAGCAAACAAAATCAAGAGCTACACGAGGGAGCAGTAGCTCAAATCTATGGAAAAATAAAGTCTGGTCCGGAATGTTCTGCAATCCTTGCAGGCTTTTTAAAGAAATTTAAATGTGAGAATACATACAAGGCTTTTTTGACTGGCTTAAGACATTGGTTGGCTTCTTCGGAAAAGAACAAAGTAGCGTAGGGTGTATTGTGTTGTGTCTCGTACCATCGCTCGTTACCGTGATACAGGTAGCGTAGCCCGACGTCAAGGAAGTGGACGGAAGAAAACAGCAAGATCAGCAGAAATGGTCCTAAAAGTAAAGAAGGAAATGGTCCTAAAAGTAAAGAAGCCGCGTCGCAGTGGCCAAAAAATAGCCGGTGGGCTGAACATATCGCAATATTCCATTCGGCAAATATTGAAAAATGTGCTCGGAGTAAAGCCATTGAAATTCCAAAAAGTACAAGAACTTACACCGCAACAGTAAGAAAATAGACTCAAAAGAGCTAAAGAGTTGCTTCGCTTGGCCGAAAGTGGTGAACTGCCGAGTTTGTTTTTCTTTCCGATGAGAAAACCTTCGATGATCACCTTCGACAAAATGATCGTTTTTATTTGTCAAAGAGGTCAGCTGAAAATGTTCACTTACGGTTGGCCACTAGAACTCAAGCGCCGGTCATGGTGATGGTATGGGCCGCCATAACAGACAATGGTCGCTCTCCACTCGTATTAATCGATCGTGGCATCAGAATAAATGCCGAATATTATCGCGAAAATATTCTGGAGGGTGTATTAAACCCTAGGACACGCAAACATTTTGGCCGCAGACCTTGGACATTCCAAGAGCACTCAGCACGCGCCACCCAAGAGTGGTTACAAAATGAGGTTTATCGCTTCATTTCCAGCGCACAATGGCCACCAAAATCTCCGGATACCAATCCGTTGGACTATTGTGTCTGGAGTATTTTGGAAAGCAAGGTTGGTATTAAAGAATACCAAAGTGTCGATCACCTCAAGCAAGCGCTTCGCCGGGAATGGGTAAAAATGCCGCAGAGCAACATTCGGGCAGCGTATGATGGTTTCATTGGCCGTTTGAAGGCCATAATTCGTGCCAAAGGTGACCAATTAGAACAAATCTATACTTATTCTAAAATTTAATGCTATTTCCGACATTTTTAGCTTCATTTAATAAAATGTTAAAAAAAAATGTAAAAATTATGGCGTTTTTTATCTCACCCTGTAGGGACCGACTGTATCGATAAGCCCGTCTCCATAGTCCACAGACAAAAAATGAAAATTGTCAAGCAAAATATTCTGCAAATATCTAAAGCACCATTGCGAAGGGGACCTGGTAACGGTACCCTTGAGGTTCGGTATTTTAAATATTTCTGCCCCAATTTCCAATAGAAGCAGCTGCAATTTGACATATCACGTTCTGTGTAGGAAGTTTAATTACTCGAAAAAAATATGCAATAATGTATTGTCCACACAAAACGAAACCACCAAATTTGAAGACTATCCTCAAGTCGTCAAATTTGGGGGTTTCGTTTTGTGTGGACAATACCATTATGGCATTTTTTTCGAGGAATTAAACTGGCCTCAAAACAAGTTTTCACTTAATGTAAGGTATAAGAAGTTAGTCCCAGCTTCAAAAACGTTTTTATTTGTTTAAATTATAGATTATTTTTCAATTTTACACTACTTATTTTACAATACCAAAGATTTTTAGACTACCAAAGTTATATCAAAGAAATAAAAAAAGTTCAACTATTTGTAAGCTAGTGTAATAACCAAATATGAATATGACAAAAAGCTACTTACATTGATCTATATAATCATCATCGTACAAATCTTCCAATATATACATGGTGGGTATTTCTCGCGGTGTATGCGTGGTTGTCCTCGGCGTTGTTGGTGTTGACAACGAGGGGGTTGTTGTTGTTGTTGGTGTTGCTGTTGTTATGGCAGCATTGCTGGTTGCAGCTGGTGTGTTTGTGGTGTCGTTGTCTGTGGCCATACCTGGAGGTGCACTGGTTGGGGTCTGCTGTAATGTGGTGGGAGTTAATGACATTTCACTGGCTGACAATGGCTCGACGAGCAGCCGAGCTGCCGCGGATGATGGTGGTGGCAATGGATCGGAGACATCCATTATGAATGGATTTCTGTTAGACGAATTGGCGAGAAAATAAAATTTTGGAATTTTTCCCAAATATCCGAAGACAATGCAACCAGCCGATAATGGCAATAAATACAAATTACACTGGGGGTGCAAGCGCCCAAACTTTGCGGCTGTGTGGAAGAAGTATTGCAGCAGCAAATCGAGCGTTGTCTTTAATTTTATTTATTATTATTTGTTGTTTTTGTTTTGCTTTGTTTCGTGGCTCTAATGAATGCTCAATCACTCAACAATGCAACAATGGCCATGCAGCAACATTTATTGCAACGCCCCGCAATATTTCTTGCAATGCGGGTGTTTTGCAAAGCGACAGCCAGCCAGCCACACAGACAGACTGACTGGGTTTTGGTATGGTTGATTTGTCGAATTTATTGTTGCTTGGCTTTTGTATTGGAAAACTATATGGATTTCATTTGGCATGGCCCGGCTTACATGCCGAAATTTTTATTACACGATTTTGGCTTCTTCTGGCGTTTTTTTCACAAAGATTTTGCAACCAAAAAAAATATTTTTTTTCAAAGAGCTCTTAATTTTCGTAAATATTGAAATTTGTTTTGTTTTTTGATTCTTCTTCTTAATTTTTATTAATTTAACACTAATTTTCGTGGCTACCCATCAACGCCTGTTTTTTTTTTTTTTGTTTTATTTAAAAAAGCAAAGATAATGATGATGACGTGATGAGCTTAACAACGATCCACTTCTTTTGGACACGCCATACCGGCATTAAGAAACTCTAAAATCACTTTGAAGTTTTCCACAAAATTTTCCTTTATTTTTTTCTTCTTCTTCTTTTTGTTGTTGTTATACACAATTTTCAAATTGCATGTTTGCAACAATGATTTTCTTAATTTTCCATTTGTTTTATGCAACTCTTTTTGCTCACTTTTATTTCTTGATTATCTTTTCAAACTATTTTTTATTTATTTATTTTTTTTTTCTAAAAATACACACACACACAAACACAACAACAAATTTTTAAAATTCTTTTTAAAATCAGTTTTAAAAACTACTTGGTTTAGTTACGGCAAGTTGCGATGGATGAGAAGGCGGGGGTGGTGGCTGATCGACTGTTCGGATGACTGGTGTGTTTGGGCAGATATTTTCGTTGTTGTTAATTTGTTTTAAATCTGCAATGAAACGAACAAAGAAAAAAACAACGAATTTAATTAAATTTATTTCTTCAAACAAATAAAACAATTTAAAAAGTAATTAACAGCAGTTAATAAGTGAGTTGTTGGACTTAATTAGGCTAATATATTTTAATAAAGGAAAATAAACGAAGTTTTTTCTGTAGGAAAAAGATGATGTTTTTTCTTTAGAAAAAAATCCTTCGAACCTTCTTTAGAAAAAAATGGGAGACCTCTTTGGTCGCAATTTTTTGTTTTATAGAAAAGAAGTTAAAAAGAATCAGCCGTTTTTGCTGGCAGATATATACCCTCCGCCAATGTATACAGAACAGTAATGAAATAACTGATCGACTGAACTATAATCAATGCCCAGACTGAAGCTAGAATCTTGAAATTTTCCACGAGGAACAGTCTTTTTTTGGAAATTCGTACTAAAAGGGTACGGAAAGTACTAAAAATTGAATGAGCTAGAATTGTAAAATTTGGAATCAGAGTCAATGATGGAGGGCAGGATGGATGTACCTAAGGGTTTTTGGAAATTTGAACTTTAAGGTTACGAAAAGTTCTAAAATGATACTATTTGGTATTATGTGAACAGATAGAAATTTTGTATAAGAATCAAGGTTCGAAAGTAGGGTGGTTTTGGAAATGTGTATTAAGTGTGCGAACTGTACATAATTTGGTTCAATTACGTTTTGGGTGAACGGAAGAAGCTGGTAATTTGAAATTTTGTATTGGATCCCTGCTGGTAGGTTTGGCTTGTGATAAGTACTAAATAGTACTATATTTTGGGTACAATTTGGTATTGGGTGAACAGATAGTGCTTGAAATCTGAAATTTTGGTGTTCGGGCTACAGTTCAGGTGTAGCCTGGACATATGGAAGTTGTTTCGGAAATGTGTACTATAATTGTACGAAAAGTGCAAAATGGTACTGAATTTGTAATTGGGTGAAGGAATAGGGCTGAAATTCTCAAATTTGATTTTGGGGTCTCCGTTGGTATCTGGGATTGAGATTTGGTAGTGGTTTGAAAATGCGTCCCATATTTACACGATTCGATAAGACTCTGCTATCTTCAAACTTGATGTTGAGGTATCTGTTGTTGTGGAATGTGTACTATAATTGTACGAAAAATACTAAATAGTACCGAATTTGGTATTGGGTGAATATTGTGGTCTGTTGGTATCTGCGATTGAGATTTGGTGGTGGTTTGTAAATGCGTCCTTTATTTGTACGAAAAGTACTAAATGGGACTAAATGTTGTATTGGTTGAGTGGATAAGGCTGAATATTCAAATTCGATATAGATGTCAATGTTGAAGCCTGTGGTAAGAAATATGGAGGTAGTTTTGGAAATGTGTACTATTTTTGTTCAAAAAGTACTAATGGTGAGGTCTCTGTTGGTATCTGGGATTGAGATTTGGTGATGGTTTGGAAATGAGTCCTATATTTGAACGAAAAGTACTAAATGGGATTAAATGTTGTATTGGGTGAAGCGATAGGACTGCTATCCTCAAATTTCATATTGAAGTCTCTGTTGGTATTTAGGATTGATATATGGAGGTGGTTTTGTGAATGTGTACTAAATATATTGGGTGATGGGATATATCAGGGATCCTGCATTTTAATATTGAGATCTCTGTTGGTGTCAGGAATTGAGATGTGAAGGTGGTTTTGGAAATCCGACCTATATTGTCATTTGAAAAGAACTGGATGCTTATTTCTTAAAGGAGGGAGATACCAATAGAAGTGATCCGATTTATTCCATTTTCGCACCAGATCTTAGGTAAATGAAAATGTTGGAATGTATCAAGTTTAAAAAGTAGGGATGCTCAATTAGCATTTTATAAGCGTCATGGTCATTCCAAAATTTTGACCTGTTGTAGAGGAGGTACTAGAAGGAATGGACCGATATATTTTATCTTCACATCAGATCTTGTGTTGGAAGATATATGGCGATGCATTTTTTCGAAATTTTGACCCTTTGTGCGGGAGGTATTTAATGGGATGGGCCGATATTGCCCATTTTCGCACCTGACCTAACCCGACTTAAATACTATAATTTGAAAAGTTTACACAAAATCGAATGGTCGCTTCTTTTTTATAGGGTAAATTAATTTCTGTGGGGAAGGTACCGGAAAGAGTGGATGGATATAACGCATCTCCAAACTCGACCTTAGTTTGATAATCATATTACCATGAACCAAATTTGGAACAAATCGGATACTCTCTTGTGCACCTGTAAGGCAGTCAGACAGACACGTGGACGAAAGAGGCACTTTTTTTTCGAAGAGACACGTTTTAGCCGTATATCTGTATAAGCCATATTATGAGAGTATAAAATTCGGGCTATCCCTTGGGAAGCTTTTTATACCCTCCGCCATAGTACGGAGGGAATATTAAGTTTTTCATTCCGTTTGTAACACCTCCAAATATACATTTTAGACCCCACAAAGTATATATATATTCTGGATCAGCGTAAAATTCTAAGTCGATTTAGCGATGTCCGTCTGTCTGTTGTAATCACGCTATCCTTCGAACCATATAACGGTACCTCCCGATATTCAGTATTTTGATGATTTTAGCGACAGTATTCACCGAAATCGTTTCAAATTTGGTCTTTGAAGTTCGAAATGGATACTACAGCCTAAGACAGAAAATTATCTGTGCAGATCCACCTCTTTGTATAGCCCCCATATAACGATACCTCCCGTTATTTGACATTTTAATGATTTTAGCGACATTATTCACCGTAATTGTTTAAAATTTGGTATTTGAAATTTGGAATGGATACTAAAGCCTATGATGATTATAGCGACATCATTCACCGATTTTTTTCAAGTTTCGCATTTGAATATTGTAATGGCTTATGACAAAAATTACCTATGCAGGTCCACGTCGTCCTATACCCCCAAATATAACGGCTACATTCCGCGTTTTAATATTTTAACAGAATTTTTAACGGATTTTATTTTTTTTTAAATTCCCAAATTCGTTCCAAATGGTGGAGGACATTCAGTTTTTTTACTAGTTATTTTTATCTTTCTACAGAAAAAAATGCAATCCGAGGGGCCGGCTTATTTTTCCATAGAAAAAATAACCCTTGGTATACACTTATTTTTTGCAAAAAAAAATAAAACTGGAAATGGTGTAACATCCTCATTTACACAACATTATGGAAATATTTCTGACAAAACAGGTTTGCTTTTGTTTGTTGTTTTGAAAACTAAAAAAATTTCCAGACAAACGTCTGCCGAATCCGTTGAATGCGTCACATGTAACGCTGCCGGTTAAAGGTTTTCAGACCTAATTTTTACCTTATTAAGGTTTTGTGGGATACACTGCGGTCGTCATCACAACCATCGTCACATCGTTGTATGTAAGTCTATATGTCTGTATGTCGTTAATTGACATTTGCCATTAAAGGCATTGCCGCGGAGTGTGTAATATCGCCAAAGAAGGGCATAAAACGTTTAGAGAATGGAACGGCTAGTCTTGGCTTAAATTAAAAAATAAAATAAAATAAAAACAACAGCAAATTATTTAAATTGTTGTTAAATACCGATAATGGGATTAATAACACTAATGGAAATTAATTAGTGGAAAAATATACAGAGCGTTTTAAGTGATTAAAAAAGTAAAATCATTTATGGACAAACTAATGTGGACTGAGTAGTTTTTGTAAAAACATCATAAGTCTGGAGGGGCTTCGAAGTTTTGTCTTATTGTCCCAATGTACCGACAAATTTTGACCATTTAAACCTGGAAAATTTTCCTTTCGTGTTTGCCCATGAAGTCTCACACACCCATTCTTCAGCTTACGATTTCTTTTAGTTCCAACTTCCAAATCGCTCTCCAAAAAATCAGCACAAATATTTAAACGAGAATCAACAAGACTACAAATGCAAACTTAGTCACATATTCTCTGATTAGAATTTTAAATTTCAATTGGAGGCAATCATCCAAGCGATTTACTGACTGCGATTGTTCGGTTATTGGCAGACGGGGGACATTCAAATGGCTAAATGTTTATTTGTTCACTTCTAATGGCCATAAATCAAGGTTGGGGTTGGGCTGTTTTCAAAGCGGCAGCAAAATTAACACATACTCGTAATTTTTGCAAACTTCGACCATTATTGGCAGTGCTGCGAGGTATTTCGAATTCATTCATACCATTTTCCATTATTTGTTTTACTCGCTCGTTTAGCTTAACTAAATACACTTTTTTTGTAGACTTTCGAAATGATTTCATTCAATTATTTTTTTGGATATTGGATTCGACAACAAATTTAATTAAAAACTAACTCTAACTCACAGACATCGGCCGGCGACAATGGCTGCTGCTGTCATTCTAAGCTATGATCACACGCGTTTTATTGTAAAATCGAGACTAATTGCCTGAGAAGAAAATAAATAAATTTGGAGCTGGAGATTTCGATCCAATGTTGGAAAGAAGAGAAGAGCAATGAGATCGTTTCGGTTGCCGCCGCCGAGTTTAACGGCTCTACACACATGCAGTCACGTCTCACAGCTGGCATTCATTTCATTTTCTTTCAAATCGAACTTTGCTGCTCGCAATTACTGACGACGAGTAGTCTTACGTTGGTCGCGCTCAGCGTCACTGCCAGACAATTTACACCCCCTCAAGTCACAAGGCTGGTAAGATGCTCCAAGTCACACTGTCTAGTTTGAATGAAAAAGAAAACAGAGAACGGCGACATAACTTAAATCCAGAACAGTGGGATGGAGCTGCTCCAACTGCAATATCTTCCGATATCTTTGCAGTTGGGAATTTCTTTAATAGAAAAAAAGATCGGAACCCCTGTAGACTTATAAAAGAAAACTTGGAACTGTTGGATTGTGAATTATTTTCTTAAAAAACAGAGATTTTTTGTAGAAACAAGTAAAAAAAATGTAAATTCGGCAGGGCCGAACTTTGAATACCCTTCACTATTTGGAACAAATTTGACACTTTTCAAAAAAAAAAATAAGATAAAATCTT